TATATATATATATATATATATAAAAACATACTGTATATATAAATGTTGGAGTTCAGCATTAAAAAATGGGCTAAGACGGGGTTTGTGGCAAATGCTTTCAAAATAACAAATATTCTGTATATGACAATACAAGTGACACACAATATAACACACACACACAATATAACGCACACACACACAATATAACACACATTCACACAAATACAAAGTCACTCACACAATATAAACACGCACACACATTCACTCACACAATATAACACACACATTCACTCACACAATATAACACACACACACACACACACACATTCACTCATAACATTGTAAACAGCTTAAAGATTACAAATAATAAAACTCTATTATAAACATTAATGTTATCCATTAAATTGTAAAACTGTATGCATGGGCAAAATAAAGACAACAAAAACATATACAGTACATCTCTGGAATACGCTCATATTTCACCATGTTTTTGTTTTTTAACAATTGTGCAATTACAGAAAAAAAATCTTCCGATCTGCCAGAAATCCAGAAACCCCACATGTTTACTGACGATCTATCATAAGGTTTTTTTTCCTAAAAGGTCTTAAAATATATTAGAAGATATTTGCTGCCAGTCCACTGGTGGGATTTATTGGTTAAAGCACCAACAGAATCACAGGTCAGTCTAGCACAAATGAGAATTGACTAGGGGTTTGTGAAAGTTCTGTGTGTCATTAACCGCTGTACCAAGTGTGACTATTCTGCAAACCTCTGCACTAGTATTTATCAATGGGTTTGCAACAGTTCATTCATTTTTTTACAGCACAAAAGAAGAGATCAGGGGCATGGTCTCTATTGGCACAGTGCTAATTCTGACCACACAGCAATCTTACAATGACCCGGTCTCATAAAATATGTAATGATTCCTGTTTCAGTCTCCTTCTCTACATATTATCTCATCCAATTATAGGTCATGCACTGCTCAACCTCCAAAGAACCCGGCCATATTTTAGAGTTAAATACTGCTTCCATATCAATGACATTTCTGCTTCTGCTTGATAAATCTGATCCACTATATCTCTGGTCCTGTATTCAGTCCATCTACTGGGCAGCATGAGTTATACAATGTGGTCACAATTCAAGAGCTATGTTTCCTAACAAAGGCATTTCTTACCATATACTGGTCTAGAGTATAATACATATTATGCAGTATGAGGCTAGGTTCACACCTATAACGCGGATTTAGCTGCGCGATATCGCACAAAACAGAGATTTGCATTCTGTTTATACCTTTGTGATTTGTAGCGCAGTAGAAATCGCCTGTCACGCAAAAAGGTGCAGGAGCTATTTTCGTCCAGT